GCCCCTCTACGTTGCCCATGAGCAAAGTCTATCGCAAAAACTTGAGATAAGTTTCAAAATAAGACGGCGTATTTGAAAGTGCTTTGTAAACAAATGCCATAGAAGTACACATGATTATTTTTATCCCAAGCAAATGGTGGCTTTATTTTTCTAATTTAGGAGGCAGACGGAAGGAACTGAGGTTCACTGTGGAAATGTAACTTTCTCTCATCATTGAAAAGGTTCCTGAGGCAAAATCCACCCTGAAGCCACTGTCCTTTCTTTTCCAATACTTGCCCAGCTTCCTGGTAGGGAGGGAGGTGTGTGGATGAAGGAGGGATTTCTCCTTCATTCAGCAAACATGTAATGAGCACCTACTCTGTGCCAGGCACTGAAGGATACAGGGTGCAACAGGCACAAACCCTGCGCTAACAAAGCCCAGACTTTTTGTGAAGAGGCAGAGAGACCGTACTTCAATGTGACGAATTTATAAGGATGTACAGTTGTCTGAAAGCTTACAGGACATAGTGTAGTGGGGAGGGCAGGTGGCTTCTAGAGGTGGTAACATATAATCTGGGCCTAGAAGGTAGAGCAGGAGGCATGGCTGGAAGGCAGGCCTGGGCGCAGTCCCCTCAGACACTGTAGATATATTAGAGAGAGCAGTTGCTGCTCCCAACTGTTTAGATCACTGACACGGATCTCCTCTGTGGCTTCAGATAGCACCACTAAAAGTCTGGAAGTCTCAGTCTGCCCTCTTGTTGAGTAGGGAGAGCAACATAACTACTTAGAACCACTGGGAGAATGAATCAATTTATGTGGTTCGCAAGAGCAAGTGTTTAGTTATCAAAAAGTCCCCAGGGGGAATACGCAGAAGGAACGGGAACACGGGGAGAACAAGCAGGGAAAACCAAGGAAAGCAAATGGGTTGGACTCTCATTAGTCAATGACGGATTGATCTTCTGTCACGGCCTTCCCAAACTCCCAGCAGTTTCAACTTAAACCTCGTTCAATATCTTAAAACCAATTTAAAGGCAATTTTTGTGATTCCTTTTTTTAAAAAAAAAATTGCGTTAATAAAAAAATGCATGAAGCTTTAGGTCAAACAGTCTAACTGATAGGAAAAGCTGATTGGGACCCAAGAGCAATGGGCCTGCCTGGCTGGAGAACGTAATGTGAAGAACAGAAAGCAGTCAACACTCAAGGGAAGAACAGCGGAAGGAGTCACAAATGGCTCAAAGCCAAGAACCCTGCAACAGAGTGGAATTGAACGGGAAGCGTGAAGAGGGTTGATGAAGGTAGTTAGTTGGTATTAGCAAAACTCAGACATGAGAACACATCTAAAGCCTTCAGTTCCCAGGGGGGCTGCAATGAGCTTTTCACTGTGAGATGTGCGGAGTGTCACCCTTTCAGATTTCAGGTCAGTGAAACAGCAGAGGTCAACCTCCTGGAGACCATGCTGTTTGAGAGAAATGTAGGGAACAGAAAATAAGCCCTCTGTATCAAAATAAAAACCCTTCGTTCTATGGTCAAATTGAATTGGGTCGTGAAATTTGAAGAAATAGCTTGTTTGGTTTGTGCCTTCCCATGTCCAAGAGCAGCTATGGTTGAAATAAGGAAACTTTGGAAGGCTGGTAAATTTGCTCATAGAGAAGGTGCTGCTTCTTGTGTATTTTTCCCCCTCTCTGCTTTGCATCTGGAAGGCTAACTCTCATGGGCTGTGCCCCTAGGATTCCTTCTGGGTGGCTTTGGTGGGGTGTGGCCCACAGGAGACATTAGCAAGAGATCCGATGGTAGGAGGTAGGAGGTGGCATGTCCCTGCTCACTCCCTTCCCACGGTGGGAATATATCTGGGCAATGCTGGACACCCCATGATGACACCTCCTGTCACGAGGTCCCTTCTCCATAGCTACAGCTGACGGGCTGCACGGAACTCATTTCCTCCCGTCCCTCTGCAGGCCTGGGGTGGCCACGGCTCCCCACTGACGCTCACTCTGAGGCTCTCGCCCTGTGTCCCGGCCTGCCTCTGCAGGTCATCCCTTTCTTTAACATCTCCTCCTGTGCCCATCTGGGTGGGCTTCTCTCACCTGAGGGACCCTGACTGAATCAGAGATATAGAAAACATGGCAGCAAAGCCCCTTGTTAGTTGCTTTCTGTTCTCTGGCAACCGCTAACCAGCAGACATCTTTTTTTGTCTTGTTTTGTATTTTTTTGAGATGGAGTCTCACTCTTGCCCAGGCTGGAGTGCAGTGGTACGATCTCAGCTCACTGCAACCTCCTCCCAGGTTCAAGCGATTCTCCTCCTGCCTGAGCCTCCCGAGTAGCTGGGACTACAGGTGCGTGCCATCACGCCAGGCTAATTTTGTATTTTCAGTAGAGACAGGATTTCACCATGTCGGCCAGCTGGTCTCGAACTCCTGACCTCATGATCTGCCTGCCTCAGCCTCCCAAAGTTCTGGGATTACAGGTGTGAGCCACTATGCCTGGCCGGCAGACATCTTTTTAGTTTGTCTGGCTGGTTTGCTTTGTTTTCAAATAAGGTGATTGGAGGCTGGCCCTGTGATTGGGAGCTAGAAGCAGGAAGGGCCTCGAATCCCGTGGGTCTAGCTGCCGGGCCGCTTCGGCCTGAGTTCTTTCTGGGATGACCCTGGCGTGGATTAACTATACCTCCTCACAATTCCTATCAGTGCAACCTCTGTGGCAGCTACTGAAGCCACAGAAGCTCCATGGGAGCAGGGACGTTGTCTTGCTTTTTGTCCCGAGGGCCTAGAACCCCGTATTTGTTGAATGAATGAAATAATGTCTCACCAGGCGCAGTGGTTCATGTCTGTCACCCTGGCACTTTGGGAAGCTTGCTTGAGCTCAGGAGTTCAAGACCAGCCTGGGCAACATGCTGAAACCCTGTCTCTACAAAAAATGCAAAAAGCAGCCTGGTGTGGATGGCGTGTGCCTGCAGTTCCAGCTACTCAGGAGGCTGAGGTGGGAGCATTGCTTGAGCCAAGGATAAAGAGTCTGCAGTGAGCCAAGATCACACCACTGCACTCCAGCGGGGGCAACGTAGTGAGACCCTGTTTAAAAAAAATGAAATAATATCTCTTTATAGATGCTACCATCACTCCACAAACCATATATTAAATGTCTATGCAGCAGATGTCATCTTGGGCCCGGGGACGCAGGGACGCAGAGGGACGCAGACTGGTTGAAGAGATTCTGGCCTCTGCAACTTTGTCCATGTGGCACCCTCTGCTGGAATGCCCTTTACCACCCCGTCCTGCTGTCCCGACAAACTCTGACCCACCTTCCATGACTTTTCCGGGGAAGCCTGGAAGCGTTTTATATAAAGCTATAGAGTTGCTAACCTTTGGCTTAGCGTATTACCATAATGATGATATTCATTTTCCAGTAAGTGTCCCCCATGGCTCCCCTGTGAGCCTCTGAAGGGAAATGTATGTTTCAATGCATTTTTTGAGAGAGTCTGGCAGCTGCTTCAGCCACCCAAATGCTGAATTTAGTGTCTGCTAATTGACGTTGTTTGCAGACACAGTTCCCTTGATATTGGACATCTATGCTTTAGGTCATCTCTAACTTTCTTTTTCCTATTTTTCTGAATCCAATATTAAGGTTTTAATGATTTAAAAACATTTAATTTGGGCTACCTGAATCTTTAACACCAAGGTTGGGTGGTTCCTCTTGATTGAAGAATGAATGGGATTAAAGGGAGGGTCAGGTATCCGGATGGCTTTAGGTTACGCAATGCTCTTCTTCCCCTTACAGCTACTGTTTCCAAATAAATACTGTAGATGCCAGAGTATGAATTCGTGGAAGCCTCTGTCCATGTTTGCAGTCTCAGAGCATATGGATGTAAATTGCTAGACTAACTCCATTTCCCAGAGCCTCAGACGTACCTGCCTCCGTTACAGCGGTCCTGAGGCAGGGGTCTCTGCGCCATTACTGCTTCTGTAGTCAGTACCTGGTGAGCTCACATTTGAATGTCCCTGAGCTAAAATAAAATCAACAGAAAGAGCACTTGCTGCCTGGGCTATGGAAATGGGAACTCGGTCCTACATCCACTCATATCCTCATGGCTGGCAATTTAGGAGCAGATGAGAAGACCCAAATTCACCAGTTCTATTTATTTTGCTATGCTAATATTGGATAAACTCATCTGCAGAATGCCATATTGGGATACACTTCTTCATGCTCTGATTTTAGAGCATCCAGCTCTTTAACATTCTCTGCCGTAAAATTAAAATGTTCTGGAATTTCTATGTCTGTTTATTAGGTTCCTATCAGAAAAACGACTAAAGGATTTATTTGCAAAGATTTGGTGTTTAAACCCTTGTTAACATCTACAATGAAAGAAAAATAATGAGCAAATTCATCCACTGTGATGACGTTTTTAACTCTTTTAACCTGAAGGTTTGGTTGATCACAATTCATAAATAAAAGAAAATGAATTTGCATTTTCCTAAGACTGAGATAGCACCTTACAGAGTGAGGCTCTGTCCACACATTCTTTACTTAATGAGGACTGAAACACCAGTTAGCATAGGGTATGACGCTGCTTGCTAAAGACTATGATATCCTTACATCATGTAATACTTCTGTACATGCCACTCATGCAGGCATTTTCACCAGAGATTCTAAATTAGGGCATTAAAAAAATTGAAGTGGAGTTAGTATTGATTTCTCTGATTTAAAGACTGTTAAATTGTTTTATTTCCCCTCTAAGGACTCCCTTGAAAATGCTCACATGCCTCATCCCTGTTCCATATCTGTCCAGGGAAAAGCTTTCTTGGACACGCCCCAAATGGCCATGGGGAAGCCTATGCTGTGCCCTGAGGAGGGGAGTCTTTCTGGGAGAAGCCAGGGTCCCCATTCCCATGGCTACCAGTCAGCTACCAGTCTGCTGCTTGCTTTTTCAGAACGGAACTCTCCGTGACCTCTAGGAAACAGCTGCAGTCCCCTAGTCCCCTACCATGCCGGTAGCCCTGCTTGGAGGAAATGAGTAGGGCATTCTGTACCTGAGGAATTGTTCCGGAGGCTTCAAATAGGGCACTGCACTCCCCTTCATGATATGCTTCTTTACACTCCCGGCAGAAGGCAAACTGCAAAAGAACACACATCTGTTAATGAGGGACATGAGGTTGCATTTGGACATAACATATTTTCCTTTTTCCAAACAAATTCTATTCATTCCTCTGGCTTGTGCGAAGGTTTCTACATCAAATTACTTTTTTTGCAAAAAGAAATCAAGTTATATTTTGATGTGATTGTCCACTCTTTACTGAAGAGTGTTCCAAGCACCAGAGCAGGGCTACAGAGATGATAAGTCACATTTCCTCCCTTCAAGATGCGTCCACTCTAGTGGAAGACAGTGATACGGTTTGGCTGCATCCCCACCCAAATCTCATCTTGAATTCTAGTTCCCAGAATCACCATTACGGGAAAGACCCAGTGGGAGGTAATTGAATCATGGGGTTGGTTTCCCTCATGCGATTCTCGTGATAGTGAGTGAGTTCTCAAGAGATCTGATGGTTTTATAATGGACTCCCCACTTTGCTCAGCTCTCAGTCTTCTCCTTCCTGCCCTCCTGTGAAGAAGGATGTGTTTGCTTCCCCTTCTACCACGATTGTGAGTTTCCTGAGGCCTCCTCAGCCCTGCAGAACTATGAGTCAATGAAACCTCTTGCCTTTATAAATCACCCAGTCTCGGGTATGCCCTTATAGCAGTGTGAGAACAGACTAGTACACACAGAAACACAAATGCCCACAGCAAAGCTTAATTGGTATTAGAATACAAGGAAAAAAACTTCATTCAAGACATTCGCACTCAATGTTTGTTTGCGTACAGAGAAGATTTATATGCCCACGTCAGTGGACTTACTTTAATATTGAAAGCGTATTACAGAAAAAGAAATGGGTGGCTATGGGCTGAATTGTGCCCTCTCATCATTGATAGGCTGAATCAGGACCTCAGAAAGTAACTGTATTTGGAGATAGGGACTTTGAAGTGATAAGGGAAGCTGAGGTTCTTAGGTGAGGCTTTATTCAATCTGACTGGTGTCCTTACAAGAAGAGGCAATTAGGACAGAGACACGGACTGAGAGATGAAGGCCAGCATTCACCATGGGACTGAAGACGCCCAAGGGAGCAATGCCCTCTACCCGCCGTCTTACAAAGAAGCAAGCTGGATGAGTGAATGCCAGCTAGGCTTGTTCAGGGCTGTCTGTCTGGGATCCATGGACCCCTCCAGAAAGCACATCCCATTCTCACTGTCACCAGCCATGCTCCGAAGTGGCTGTCATGGCTGAGGGGTGGGTCAGCAGTGGAACACACTGGACTGGAGCCGTCATCCCATCCCCTGCCACCTGAAACACCTTGGGAAAACCGCCTTGGTTTCTGTGCCTTGGTTTCCCCCTCGGAAATGCCAGGATAACAATGATCACTATCTCATATGACCCCTGGGAGAGGCAGTGAGATAGCACATGCTGAGTGGCTGCAACCACAGCAGACGACGTGTTCTAAACTTTAAGGAGATGGCGCCAGCCAGGGACTATTTTGCTCCTACTCCATTTCCGAGGAAGAAGTTTCCTCACCAGAGAACTGGTTTCTTTCAATGCACATTTCTTTAATAAGCAGTGGGCAACATCTCCCACAGCAGAAACTGTATTCAGAGAAGGCATTTCAGCAGAGAAGAGGGGTGCTGTCCACGAGTACAGTGTGTAGATGATGGTGGTGGTCTTGGGGCACAGAGGCAAACTGACAGTACCCTCTTTCCCTTGAGAGGATGGCTTTACGTCTCTTCTGCTGACAGCCAGTTGTGTTGAGTACCTGACTGCTAGGGTATGGTGGAAGTGATGGTGTACCACCTTCTAGGTCCAGGCCTCAAAAAACCAGAGACTTCCATCTCCTGTTGGGATACTTGCTCTTGAAGCCCAGCTGCCATATGATAAGGAAGCCCAACAGCCCAAGAGATGCCCACATGGAGAACTGTGGCCTCGACAACGGCCCGGTCTGAGCTTTTAGTAGACAGCCAGCACCAACTTGCCAGCCATGTGACTGGGTCATACTCCAAATAGACTGCTGTTATTTGAAGCCATTAAATCTTAGGGTGGTTTTTACGGAGCAATAAATATCTGAAACAGTAATAAATAAGAATATAATATGCTGAAAGTGATGTCTGGAAGATTCAAACGATTTTCAGAGAACTAAAAGTTCTCAGACTAATATTTTATAGCCTAAGTCAGGAATTTAGCCTAGTTTTGATTAAGACAGGTCTGATTTGAATTGAAAAACAAAAATAAAAACAAATAGGATATAAAACCAACTCTACCCCAAAATACAGCATAATTCCTCTTTGCTTCAAAGAAGAATAGCCTACCCAATGCCATTTTTCCTTCATGTTGTCTTCACCAGGTGAACAGACTTTTCTTCTTCCCTATGTCCAATTTCTTGTTTTAAAAACTCATCTGAAAAGTATTTTAATCTCAGAACATCAGAAACAAAAAGGAAAAGCATTTTATAAGGAAATAACCTCTTCTGAAGTATGCCACAATAGATCTCCAAGCCATCACTTTTAGCATATGATATTCTTATTTCTTCTCATAGCAGAGAGACTGAACTCAAATTTAGTGAAATGTAAACTTTATTTAAAGGTTGGTGGGAGAGCATGTGTGCATCAGAATGTCCTTCACCAACATTACCAGGCTTCAGTTTCTGATGTTTCATTTTCTTTGAACTAAAAGTGAATTCACTGAATAGTGAGTTGGGTTCCAGGATTTTCTTCTATTTTTAAGAACTGTTATCTGTTAATACTTGGCTCTGCTTCACACTCATTCCTCTGCTCTTACATGCTTTGTTGGAAAAATGTGGATGGAAGGCCCAGTCATAGAGAACTGGCAATGGGGTCTCAGCCTACTGCTTTCTAGAGAAGCAAATCTGATCTGTTGGCGTGACAGGGAAAACCTTTCACGTCTTATTAGCTAGTGGATGAGATATAAAATCAGTTTCACGGTAGAGCAACACCCTGGAGGTTGATCAGTTTGTCAGAATACATAGGCCTTTCCTGACACAAAAACATTAAATTCCCTTTCACACCAGTACTACAAAGAATGGGCTACTGAGAAGTAACAGAAAGGGAAGATTGTGTCAAATGAAAGCATCCCCACTCCAGCATGGCAAAAGGCAAAGAAATGCTGCAGGAAAATTCTCGTGATGACTTCACAGAATACACTGGCTAATTTGCTTCTATTCAGAGTGTTACTTTAAACTTAGACATATCATGCAGTGGTCCTTCCCAATTTAACATGAATCTGTCTCATATGCGATGGGGGAAATGTCTAGAAGGTCTGATTTGATCTTGGAAATGTTTGAGTTTTCAATTACATTATCCAGAACTTGAGACTCCCAACCTTCAGTTGTTGTGTTACACACCAGAGTGCCCTGCAGTGCCATAGCAAACTCATGGGGTCCCTGGGACATTCCAGGATTTTCAGTAAAACATAGCCTGGCTGATGAACACGATGTGGTTTATTAACTCAAGGCAGTTCCCAGTGTTCAAGTAGATCGTGCCACTTTCATTTTGGTGACATTCTATCTTTGCAAAGCTGGGTTTTTGGAAGTTACCAGAATAGAAAACAAGTACCACATAAACATCCATTTGGAACAAAGATTTGATTATTTAAGAATAAGTTAAAGCCCATTGTTTATTTCCATTTATGTGAATTATCATTTCAGATAACTATTCAGTTGCTAAGACATTAATTCTTATGATGCTATGTGGCCCTAAATCTTTCATAATCACAACTGTTAGGCATTTATTTTGGCCTAGAAATGCCATGAAAAATGAACTGAGCTGCTAAGGGCATGGTGAACAGAAGTCTGGGTTAGGCAGACACAAAACTCCTTCCTGAGACAGTGTTTGGGCCAGTTTGCTGACATTTCTCATGGCATAGCTGTTTCTAGAGAAAGGGGAAGAAAGTCGGCCTAGCTCCACCAACATATTCACATCCATTCTGCTGATCTGCATGTCTCATATCTGGGGCACATGAATCTTTCTTTAACCAGCCATGTAGAAGGCTGAAATTTACATAGGGATTTGCTATTACTTAAAAATGGACTCATATTTGCTGAGGCTCCCTGAAGACGCATAATACCTCTCCAAACCTTATGAGGAAGCATTAACCAAATGGAAGTTAGTGTGCCAGAAACATGTAGTATTATTTATACAGTATACGTTTTCAGGATTATCTTCTCTTGTGGTGGATCTAACAAATACCACCCATTTCTGTACGTTTCTGTAGAGTTGTTTTTTTTTTGAGAATTTTTTATTTTATTTTTATTTTTTATTATTTTTTTAAAGACAGGTTTCACCATGTTGGTCAGGCTGGTCTTGAACTCTTGACCTCAGGTGATCCGCCCGCCTCAGCCTCCCAAAGTGCTGGGATTATAGGCATGAGCCACCATGCCTGGCCTTTTTTTTTTTTGAGAATTTTAAAACGTCTTTAAACAATTGTAAAAGTAATACCTACTTATTTCATTGGTGCTCTAAACTCTATTCCTTTATAGATTTGGTTAGAAGGCAAATACAGGGACTGTATCATGATAGCTCCTGTGAAGAGAGTTTTATGTATCAACTTGGCTAGGCTATGGGCCTCAGTGACTCAAGCAGACACCAATCTAGATGTTTTTGTGAAGGTATCTTGTAGATGTGATTAGGATCTATAATCCGTTGATGCCGGGGTCACCTTATGTTTGGGTGCCACTGTTGGGTCACCACTTTCGGGGGTCTGTCCTCCAGACTTTGACTCAGTGACTGATGAATAAAGTACACTGACACACAGATATTATGCTTTGCTAGTTCGGCTGAGGATCTGTGGCCACTTACAGTCTCCCTGGAGAGTGCTGTAAAGAGATAGCAGCCGCTGGCCTTCACTAGCTAGTGAGACTTGCATTTATTCAGTAAAGTTTAATTGACAAAGGCTTGAGTCAACACTACTAGAGGTTGAAGATTAAAGGCCAGGTTCTGATGCCTACACCAAACACTATTAATGGGTAATATCCTTGGTCAATCTCCCCTCAAGAGAGCCATTTGGAATGAGCAAAGG